GGGGGGCTGTACGGGTGCTGGGCCCAGAGAGAGAAGAGCTCTGCCCAGGGGACGTTCCAGCTGCTCGTCGAGTGTGAGTGGGGTTAACCCCAAGACGCTGACACTGGAGAGTAGCAGGGTTAATCCGTGGGACTCCTCGCCACTGAGTCCTAGCAGGTGTCACAGGTGCCTGGCCCCTTTAAACAGAGACAGTGCATACCACCCCCCCAGCCGCCCACCATGCCATAGTTAATTAGCTGCTTCGAGGGCAGCCCCAAGGGGGGCAGCTGAGGCTTGAACCGACTCCTGGTCTGTCTATGAGGGCCATGAGTGCACAGACTGAGGGCTGAGAAGCTGGAGGGTTGGTGTGAAGCACTGCTGGCCGAGGATGGGGCCAGATCAGCACCCAGGGGCCGGCCGAAGGGATGTCCCAGGGCAGAATAACCCACAGGACTCCCTGCCACTGGATATTAGCAGGTTAATCTGTGGGACTCCCTGCCACTGGGTGTGAATGGGGTTAACCTATGGGACTCCCTACCACTGGTTTTTTCTCTCTCTGACTATTGTCGCTGTGTCTCCTGCTCTCCCCAGACAGCCCTCGGCCGGGGACTGGGCTGAACTCGTCCTGCCAGCACCAGGGGACCAGCGTCAGCTGCAGCTGCTCCCTGCGCTCCCACCCCCCACCACGGCTCCAGTGGCAGGTGGACGGGGAGCCCGTGGCTGGGAACAGCAAGCGGGGGGCCCTGCAGGTCAGCTCGTGGGCCCAGGGGGATGAGGCCATCAGCACCCTGAGCTGGACGGGGAGTGGGGACGGGGGACCCCGGATCTTCTGCCTCGGCTCCAACCCCCACGGGACCTACGCCGCCCTGCACTTTGATTTCAGCCCCCCACAGAGAGGTGAGACATTCGGACTCCTGGGTTCTCTCCCCAGCTCAGGGAGGGAGCCAGGACTCCTGGGTTCTCTCCCCAGCCCTGGAAGAAGAGTGGGGTCTGGGTGTTGGAAGCAGGGGAGTTGGGAACCAGGACTCCTAGATACTATCCACAGACCTGGGAGGGGAGTGGGGTCTAGTGGTAAGAGCAGGGGGGCTGGGAGTCAGGACTCCTGGGTTCTCTCCCAGCCATGCTCCGTGCTGTGTGTTTTTGCAGGTGTGGAGGTGCCTGGCAAGCTGCTGGGCGTCGGGGTGGCCTGTGGGCTGGGGATCGCCGTCGGCTTCTTCCTTCTCGGGCTGTGTGTGATCAAGTGAGTCTGACGCCTCCTGCCCTGACCTGCACCTGCCTCCCACCCCGCTAAGATCTCACTGAGATCCCCTGCCCTCTCCCCTGGGCTATTCCAGCCCCTCCCGCAGTGAGATCCCCCAACCCCTCTCCCTGGCCTATCCCAGTCCCCTGCGCTCTAGCCTCTCATACTGGGCTGCCACCTTCCTCCCTCCCCACGGAGCTATTCTACACCCGCCCCCCCGCCCCTGTCTCATGAGTAGGGTTACCATTCGTCCGGATTTACCCGGACATGTCCTCTTTTTTGTCCTAAAAATAGCGTCCGGGGGGAATTTGTAAAGTACTCACAATGTCCGGGATTTTCCCCTCCCCCGGCAGAGCAGACCGAGCGGCTGGGAGGGCTGCAGGAAAGTCCCGGGCTGGACTCCGGAGCAGCTGTAGAGGAGCCGGATCCGCCCTGCATTCTGAGCAAGTGTCTCAGCACAAAGTGCAGCCCTCTCCTTTTGCAACTGGGAGCGGTTTCTGCCATGCAGCGTAGCAAAACGGGAGCGAGAGCACTTTGTGCTGATACAAGGGCAGCTCTCCCCTGCAGCCCGGTCCGGGCCAGGGACCGGGTTTTGTTGTGCAGGGCCAGGGACCGGGTTTTGTTTTGCTGGGGAGCTCAGCCACGTGTCCGGCTCGCACAGAGCCCAACACCCTGTTCTGAGCAGCAGGGTAAGGGGGCCAGGGGGCAGGAAGGTTCTGGGGGGGGCAGTCAAGAAAAAGGGGGGGGGGGGCTTTTTGGGT